TAACAGAAATAGGTTAAAAGCACGAAATTCTTTCACACCAGTAATGATACATGGAACCATAGGTACAAGATTGCTGTGATTCACTTCTATTTACACAGCAGAAGCCATGCTTCAGAAAGTTGGCATTCTGTAACCACCAAAGCATTTTAGTCACCTTTGCAAAAATGAAATAAAAGAACATGAGCTTGCAATAGTTCAGGGACTAACACAGTCAGTAAACGAGCAAGCATGTTGCGGCTTCTGCCATTCAATCACCATAATCTCTTCGATTACATTGCAAAAAGATAACATAAAATCGTCACAATTTGCAGCTTCTAGACGTAGTTTTAGAATAGTCCTGGCCAGATCTGTTGCTAAATCATGATGTAGTGAAGTGGTCAGAGAAAATCCAAACACAATAGAACAACAAAACAAAGGTAAAATCCAAACAGCACTAAGTAAATGTAACGAGGACTTACCATTTTGATTACTTTGCAGATGAAATTCTCTGTAATGATGAAATCCAGCTACCTGAAGGACCAACCTTGTGACCATTTCCATGTACGAGATTTGGAGATTCAGTGGATTGCAAAGGTTTAGAAGAGTTTCCTCTTGAGCTACCAGCAGGTGTAAATGATGCAGTGGCCATGCGAGAATCATTTAGAGCCTATATTATTAATATAGGTAACCAGTAAGCCATTGTAACACTAACAACATACAAGGCAAGTGCAAAACATATGGTAAAGTACAATAAATATAATTATTTCGGAAGTAAGATTAATGAGGCCATTAAGATCACTTACATTCATGTCAAGAGCATTATCAGAACTCAAATTCTTTGGAGTTGCTTGTTTAAAATGCAGTCGCACTGCAGGGCTTGAAACATGGTCAGATCTAACACGATCTGTAACCTCAGCTGAATAATTATTGAACGCACCTGGAAAATAAATATTAAGGAAGTCACTTACTTTACAAAATGCAATGGTACATTTGACATTGAACTTGCATCAAACAGAAAGCTAACCTTGGCGATTCTCCCCTTCCGTAGGCATTGCATGATGATTATGTGTACCAACAAGAACCGGCTGAAGTAAGAGGCAATATACCATACTTAGAATCATTACATAAGGACATAAATGCTGACCAGGGCAAGATACTTACAGACACTCGTGGCTGGGCTCTGTTCTTCTGCGACTGCTGGTACTTTATGATTGTCCAATCAAAAACATAATCGAATTCATATTCTGCACAAAAACAAATATTTAGGCATCATGACTGTTCGTAGGTCTCTTTCAAATAGGATTACTGTCAAACTTATATAAACAGAAGCATCACTACCTTCACGAGCAAATAAGTCACGGAACAATCGCTTTAAGAACCCATAATCAGGTCGCTGATCAAATGTCAGAGAGTGGCAGTAATGGAAGTATGAAGCAAACTCCACTGGATGAGACTTGCATAGGACCTTCCAGAATGAAAATAAAAATAGATGCATGAGATCAAGAATATATGCACATAGCCAATACCCTAGAGTTTGGTTAAACATACCTCAATAGGAGTAGATAACTTCTTCTCGCATATTTTATCATATTTTTGCTTCTTTGTGGCAGCTTTCAATCCTTGCCACGGAAGGCTATAAATGGAAATTTCGTCATAAATAGAAAATGAAAAAAAAAAAAAAAAAAAACAAATAGGAATTCCGCCCCTATCCCTGTTAATGCCTGAATTAAGATATGCAGATAAAATGTGCATGAATTGGGATAAAGGGATACTGAAGTAACATCCTATATGAATATCACAACATTCTTCAGAATGATAGTGACACTATCGTGTGTAACTAATTAGTTAATAGTAATAAAAACAGTGAGAGCATTGGCATACCTTCCTCTCAAAAAGTATAGAAGCACATATCCAAGAGACTCCAAATCATCCCGCCGACTTTGCTCTAGGAAGAAGACAACAGTGAGGGTACACGAGGTCCAAGTAACAATTCAATGCAAAATGTGCAAGTAGTAAACTCAGGCGTCCGACTTACCAATTCCAAGGTGAGTATTGCAACTAGCATAGCGAGCTGTCCCTGTTAGGTTTTTGTTCTCCCTGTTAGAAAGAATTATAAACAAACGAAGGTAAAATGACATCGCAACTTTCATATGAATACTTGTGAAAAACTTGAAAGAAGTTCCAAAAGAAACTGAAGAAGTACCTGTAGGGAATATGTCGGTTGGTAGTTGCATCTCGATATCTTTTTGCGAGTCCAAAATCTATTATGTAAACCTAAAAAAACCAGTGGAAGTAAGAATGCATACACAACCAAGAACAAGAAGCTAGCAAGAACGCCTTGAAGTGATCGCTTAAAAAATAAGAACAAGCATTTAAAAGAAAGAACAAACACCTGATTTGCTTTGCGGCCAAGTCCCATGAGGAAGTTATCAGGCTTTATGTCTCTATGCAGAAATCCTTTGGAATGAACGTACTCTATTCGTGTGAGCTTGAACAGAAAAAAGAAAAGGAATGAGACAATAAACTACTATTCACGGAAGAGAAGAGAACGCGAAGTATTTAATAATAGCAGAGACAAACACGCACATCCAACTCGAGAAATCATAGCAGGAAATGATGCTACTCACCATTTGATCGGCCAACATCAAGACTGTCTTCAGCGAGAACTTCCTCCCACAATATACAAAGAGATCTTCGAGACTCGGTCCAAGCAAATCAAGGACAAGCACATTCTCCTCCCCGTCTATACCAGACCATTTAGTAGCAGGAATACCGCCTGAATTAAGACGAAAACAATCAGCCGACAGCAACTTAAACAACGATAATTCATCCACAAAGAGAATTTCACTCAGAGATAGAATCATCCTTCAACATAAGCATTGAACCACACACGATTCGAAAATCATATCGAGATCGCTTACGTACTTCCTCCTTGAAGAATATTATACAATTTCGCCTCATAAAGCAATTGCGGATGCTTCGTTTTGTTGTTTTCCTGCAAAAGAAAGCCAGACTATCAGTAAGCACCGTCCAAAGAAGCCGTAGCTCCAATCTCCATTCCACCGACCAAATTTCCACGCACAGAAACTCCAATTAATACTTCGGAGAAAGTACTCCACAAAATCCAAAAACAAATGAAAGTAAAAAATCAAGAACCACAAACTCAATCAATCGAAACGATCAGAACTCACAATTTTCACCGCGACAATTTCGAACGTCTCGATATGAGTAGCTGAAACAAAAAACACAACAAAACTCAGTCGCAAATCAAGAGAAAGAAAAATAACTTCATACAAAAACTGTAAGCTGAAAATACAAGCACATCGACTCCACAACAACTGACCGAGGTAGATTTCACCAAACGATCCGCTGCCGATCTTGCGGCCAAGCTTGTACTTGCCGCCGATTACGCGCTCCATATCGAAAGATCAAATGGATCGGACTTGCGGAGATCGGTCAGAGCATAAACAACCCCGAGGGTTTCGAAAATTTCAAAGGAGATCAAATCCGCAAACAAAAATTCAAAAAAATATTATATATAGAGATAACAAAAAGAGAATAATTGAGAAATATGTGTGTATATATATATATGGATTGAACGAGAGAGATCAGGAAATGGAAGCCACAAAAATGAACAGCAGGCGAGGAAGGACAGGTAGACCAGAAGGGCGTTTTCGTAGTTACGCTCTTCTTCTAATTCTACCTTGGACTCCAAGGGATAAACTCTAAAGTATAGGGATAGTTTCGTCATTTCCTCCATCATGGATTTGTTGACCTGTTGACTATTTTATTTCTTTTTATATAATAGGAGAATTTTGTAGGATTAAATAAAAAATGCTATTTGTTTAAAAAATACTATTTTTTTTTAATATTGCAATATTATCATTAAAATATTAGACATAAGAGCCCTAATAGCCACATAGTTTCTTAGTTAAATGGTAATATCCTAAATTTTGAAAAAAAAATACAAATATTTTAAAAAATAAATGAAAAGGACAAAAGGTTAACGTATTTTTTTAAGAGAGAAAAACAATTGAAACTTGGGCCTTGACCAAGCTGTGATGGGCCCATATTTAATATATATATATTTTTTTTCTAAATCATAAATTTTTTAGTTTTTTTTAATATATTATATTTTGGCTGAATTGGGCTGGGTTGGATGGCCCAACAATCGAATTGGGCCCATGAAGTTGAATTGGGCCCATCAAGTGGACAATCTAAAGCCTTCGCTCACAACCCATTAACAATTCACATATACATGTAGTTTATTTTCCTATCTTTTTTTTTTTTTAATCCAAATGAGTTTTTTTTCCTAAAAAAAATTTGTTGTTTATCGTTTGCGTCCTCACTAGCACTCGTTTCCCTCGTAATCCATCCCTTCGGGATCCAGCATTTTCGTTGGCACACCGCTCGGTATCCACCCCTTGTGAAATCTCACAATCCACCTCTTTTCGGGATCCAGCATTCTCGTTGGCACACCACTCGGTGCCAACCCCTTGTGAAATCTCACAATCCACCTCGGGATCCAGCATTCTCGTTGGCACACCGCTCGGTGTCCACCCTTTGTGAAATCTCACAATCCACCCCACTTCGAGATCCAACATTCTTGTTGGCGCACCGTTCGTTGTCCACCCCATTCGAGCTTTCGCGTCCTCCTAGCACACTGCCAATGTCTGACTCTGTACCATTTGTAATAACCCGAGTCAGAATATTACTACCCAAATTAAATTGTGCATCCAAAATAGCTCTAAGAAGACATGATCTCAAGCGGATACTCGACATGTATCCCCTCTTCCCGGTCCATCACAAGAGAAACGAAAACCAAAATTTGCTTTATCCCTTTATCCGGTATCAAACGCGAGCTACGAGAAAATAGAACACCTTTCAAAAGTATCAATATCGTTACATGAATCGTAAATGCATGAATATGATGGGCAAAGTCACTAAATCACCCCGGAGGAAAGAATTTGTTCTCCAACTTTCTCATTCTTTTTTCTTTTCTTTTATTATTATTTTTAAATAAATATACAAGAAGAGAAAAAGGATAATTAAATGGTTATCCACCACCAAAGTTCCATCAAAATGGAGCCGAATTACAATCTCAATGAGAATTAATAATAACGTTAATAAAATCAAATCAGTCGAATCACTTAATCTGAATCCATGTTGCAACGCTAGGAATTCCTCGATAAACCACAAACAACATGTAAAACCCCGGCGGTGCAATGATTCCGGACGGCGGCGCCGCCACAGTCACTTTGTAAGCCCCGGCGCCAGTCTCCGCCACTTCCTTAATTGACAACACCACAAGCCTCTGGTTCATCGAGTAACCGTGCGTCGTGAACGGCGGCGGATAAATTGAAACCCTAATATCATTCTCCTCATCCAATACTCCGTCAACTTTCAAATTGAAGTTCACACTGAATTCCCCTCCGTACTGCCAGCTCAGCTCCAAACTCTCCTCATCGATCGCCGGCCGGAAAGCGGCGTTTGACGGATCCAGGTACGGCGGAGAGAATTTCTCGACTCTCAATTCTGTCGGGTATTTGACGTCGTAAAGGTAGCCGGCATTGGTGTTGCTGCCGGCGACGAGGATTTGGCCGTCGGGGAGAACGGCAGCCGAGGAGTGGTACATTCTTGGGATGGTGGTGGCGAGGAGTGGTTTGAATCGTTGACCTAAGGGCTTGTCGGGACTATAGAGAACGGGAGTGAAATTTGGGCCTTCAGCGAAATTCCACGCCGAGGTGCCGGAAGTGGCGCCGTTGAGAATCAAAAGATCGCCGGTTGGAAGAATTAACATGTCGCCCATGACTCTTGGAGTTGGCATCATTTCCTTCTTCCAAACATCGTTGGGATTTGTTATTACTAAACGGTTACAGTCTTTCAATGCTTCCATGAAGTCCTTTTTCTCGGCCGACCGGTAAGCTTCCGGTTTCGCTCCGCCACATACGATAACCTAAATGAAAAATTAAGCAATACCCATTACTAGTTAGCTTAAACTTTTGAATTTAGTGGTAGTTTGTAGCTCACCTCAGCTGGAATTGCCTCGGAATTCTCGGGTTGAAGTTTGAGAGGGAGGAGCGCCGACATTCCCGACGCGGGGTAGTTTCGAGAACCGCCGTCCAAAATCGGATACTCGTGCAAGACGGTCCGAGTCTTAGGGTTAAACAAGATGGAGCGACTATTAGCAAAGATAAAGACATTACCATCGGTTGAAAGAAAAACAAATGGATAGAGATTGTTTTCGTCCAAATCCGTTGTTTCATCAAGGAAAGGCAAATTGATATCCCTTGCATTGGATTTTCCTTCGGCGGGGACAAATTCAAGGCTGAAGGATCTCCGACCACCGACCAAGATGAAACCGCCGTCCGGCATGGTGGCCTGAGTTGCATACCTAGAATGTTTTATTTTATGTCAATTAAGCTATGTCTAGGTTGGCAAATGAAAATTTTGAGTTTAATTAGCAAAAATAATTACCAACGTGGACGTGCCAATGCCGTTGCGTATTCTGTCCAGTCGCAAGTCTCACATGGAGTTATGTAACGAACAGCTTTTGTCCCGTCGTTCCAACCGCCAGTGTTTACCAATCGTCCTTCGATGTCGAGCCCTCCCGACGAGCACCATGGATCCGTAGGCATCTGCCACAATTCTTAACAATTAGTGTATTTGTCTATTCAATTAACGGATTTGAATCTCTAATCTTCATATTTACATACTTAGATCGAGTTGGCTATTAGGTTACATAGTGTGAGTGGTCTTATTTTAGTTGTTTCGATATCAAACTCGACTCCACGAGACCAATAAAAAATTATACAACTTTTTAGACTTTCAAGATCGAGTTAGCTATTAGACTATGTAGCGTGAGCGGTCTTGTTTTAGTTGTTTCGATATCAAACTCGACTCCATGAGCCCAACAACCATTTAACTTAATCTAAATGTTATTAACGTTTTAGACATTCTAGATCAAGTTAGCTATTAGGTTCGTAGCAGTCTTATTTTAGCCTTTTCAATATCAAGCTCAACTCAATGAGCCCAACAATCACTAATCTCAAAGTTATAACTTTTTAGACATTCTAGATCGAGTTAGCTATTAGGTTACGTACCGTGAGCGGTCTTATTTTAGCTGTTTCGATATCAAACTCGACACCATGAGCCCAACAATCTTGCAAAACGGCACCTTGGTCGGTTTTGAAATCAAAACATTTACCATTGGGCAACTTGATTTGTGAAATATGAAATGCTGAAGCATCAAACATGATCATCTTGTTGTTTGGCAACAAATTCATATGCATAGCCGAGACCATAGAGTTTTGAGAAACCAACTTCCATGACCCTAGAAACTTGGTTTCAAAATGACGTTTGCCCGATCCATCAACCCGTTGCTTACCGACCTGAAACGAAAATCCCGGTAGATTACTTGGTTTCGTGGTGTTACCTGGAGCTCCTGACCCGGCATTGTTCTTTCCCGTCGAAGAGTTGGCCAATATATCCTTCAAGCCCTGGTCGAGCGAGTTCGAGCCTGAGCCATAGGACCCACCGACGGTTAGGAATTGGGCCGGGGTGGAGACGAAGAAGAGAGAAAGAAAAAGAAGGAGGAAGGTAGCCTTGAGAAAGGCTGCCATTGAAGGAGTAAGTTAACCTTGTTCTTCAATGGCACCTTTGTTTGTGTGTTCCTCAGCTTTTGTCTCCCCTCTCTATTGCATTTTATGGCTCAAAAAGTTAGTTAAAGGATCGTTAAAATAGCTTATGGTAGTTACTTGTTTGAAAGAAAAACTCAACCAAATTGCTAATTCAAGTTAGATAATTTAAAACGGGAATATTGGAAACCCATGAATTATTTGAGATAAAGATTAGATTATTGATTTAATTACTAAATTAAAAAAAAAAAAAACTTAAATAATTCCATATACTATATATGAATAAATATATGCATTAAAAATAAATTATACAATTTTCTATTTTATTTTTAAAAATACTTTTAAATTATATATACACACAAACATATTTTCTCTAAAAAATAAATAAATAAATTATGATTTTCCACGTCATTAATTTTTTTATCATCAAAATTAAACATTTTTGTTCAAGTCGGTATTTACCATCAAATTTTTCACTTACTCACACGAGAGTATTCAAAAAATTCGTTGACTTGAACAACCGATCAACCCAACTCAACTCGTACGATTTGGGTTATGTTATGAGCTCATTTGAGTTAGGTTCAAATAAAAAGAAAATTTGAATAAATGATCGGAACAGTTAAGTTGGGTTAATTATTTAACCACGGTTGTTTGGTTATTCAATATAATATTTGGAGAATATATTAGTTATGGAATATATCTTAGATATTATATTTTAATATTCTCGTAGGTATTAGTTGGTAGCTTGTATTTAAAGGTTATAAATATTAATGAGAATACATACCTTTGATCCCAAATCTATTTCTCATTCGAGTTGAGTTTAAAAATGTCATAACCCGACCCACAATTATCAATTTGAGCATAATTCAACTAGGTTAAGACGAATACTCTCGACCCGAGGACGAGATTCAAAGAGCTCCCAAACCTAACCCTAGGGTTAGGATTCTCTCTCTCTCTCTTTCTCTCTCTAAAAGCACACAAAGTAGAGCTTTCTCTCAATGCCTCCCATAGATGTAGCTTGAAATAAACCCTAATGTCAAATCACTTTCCCCACTAATACAAAAAACAGTGACATATTGGGCAAATGCAAATCCCTTGGTGCATGCATGCCCTTTTTTCAATCACTTGATATGAATTTTTCATTTTCCATACAAAGCATCTTCATCATTTCCTTTCACTATTTCCCATTAATTAGTACATATTTCTTTATTTTAAATTCCCTTTTAAATATATATATATATATATATATATAAATAATGCCACGTAAAATATAAGTCTAATCACTAAAGTCTTATTCGATATCGTGCGAACACCGAGTTGAAAAAGAAAATCTATATGAACTTAGACCTAAAATGGATAATATCGAGCTAATAATGTTCCTAACACTATCTTTTTTATTAAAATAATAATTTATTGTGAGGCCGTCTTTTTTTGTCCTAAAAGCAAAATTCAAGTGGCCCGATTTCAAACTTTTTGATTGAAAGTATATATCGTATTATTATAGAGACATGAAAGGAAGATAACTCCATATTTTTCGTTCATTGTATAAATGCGATAATCGGAATTTTCGTTCTGCGTCGTTGATTAATGCGAAGGGTTTTTTGAAAAATAAAAAAATTAGGGTTAAAAAAACATTTAAAATATGAAAGGCAAACATCAATACACGAGATTCCCTTTACTAGCAATCAATATGCTTGGTGTGAAACAAACATGGCATGCACAAAAGTATTCAACAAAACCATTACTACATCCTCCTTCCTATTGAGAATATTTAACGTAACGAATTTAAATTCTTTATTCATATATTTTCTGGGAAAATTTCTCGGAGGTCACCCAATATAGAGCTGCTCCAAGCTAAGCATGCTTAGTTTTTCAAATCCCGCAATCGAGTCATCGCAAAATATGTGAGTGAGGACAAAATATGCTAAAAAGACTCGTGTTAGTTTAGGAGAGAAGTAAGCAACGGAATTATGTTGGTTAATCCAAATTCTGAATCGTGGGTATCGATCACTAATCAATATTCAAGCTCGGGTAAAAGTTAAAAAAAATAAATCTATTTCAATCCCCGACAATTATTTAAATTTAAATTTATAATTAATATCATAAGAGACTCGAAGCTCCGAACCTTAATATTATTTATTTTTTCGATATAACTTTTATAGTCTCATAATTCAAAGCATTCCCTTTTGCTTAGTCAAACTGCTCAACCAAGTGATTAGAAAGCCTAAAATGGCTTTAATGTGTCTTTCAATACTGTTTTTTTATTTTGGATTTTTCTTCCTCTTTTCAAATAAAGTTTAATTTCAAACTGTTTAACAATAAAGGACTAAGAAAAAAAATGCTCAAAGCCAATGAATCAGAATATTTCTATTTTTTAAAAATATTTTATTTAATATTTTCTATTAAATTAAGATAATTAATTAAAAATAAATAAATAATAGTTCTCCTGTTTGATTGCTCTCTGTGTAGACTTGAATGGAAGCAATAAAGTCTCCCTTTCATATATATATATATATATATAGACATATATGTATGTATGTATGTATTTATACTTGGAAAAGAAATATTTTGGAGCTGTGCATGCATGCAATATTTATATATATAGGAACGATAATTACAAATTGCACCCTATGGTTTGCCCAATTTACAAATCATGCCCTTGAATTCTTTTCACAACATATAGTCTCATAAATCTCAAACAAACCATACCCTTTTATGATTTGCAAATGTACAACTAAAAGAGGGTGTTTGAAGCAATTATTGAAAGATGAAGGGCATGGTTCATAAAATAGGTAAAATTACAGGGATAGAAACCCATTTAGATCGACAATCTTAGCTCCAAATCAAGCTCATGAGTCTCACTTGATTTAGAATTCTGACTGCTTGAACCAATTGAATCACTCCCGTATTTTGTATTCATGTTCTTGTGCATTGAATCCTGCATTTTTCACACTTCTTATGTAAAAATACGAACATAATTGAGAATAATTGCAATAAATGACTCTCGATATGGTAATTTGTGTCAACCAGACGATCATTGAGCAATCAGTAATTAGGTCAATCTAACTTTCGAGACATTTAGTATTCAAATTTCTGATATTTTCATCCATTTATACATTTCGATTACCATTGAACTGGTTTAACAATTTCTACAAATTAATTATCTATCATCAATAAAAAAAGTTATAGGTATGAATCTCAGTAACTAACCAGTACTCGAGGATTGGAAAGGTGTCCAGTCATATTTGGTTCCCCAAAATGTTGGGTCTCCAGGGTTGTATTACTCATGTTCCATCTAAAACATCACAAACCACAAATTAAATAATAAGAATTATTATTATAATTAAAAATTCATAGAAAATAAAATAAAATGTCTAAATTTTACTCCATAAATTTACGAACGTAAAAAGAAAATAATAATAATAATAAATAAATTACCTTATAGAAGTTGTTGTTGGCTGTGAATCCCCATACCTAAAGCTTCCTCTTTCATATTCTCCCATTCCCTGGGATCCATTATTAAAGGAAAATTTTTTAAAAAATAATTTAAAAAAAGAAAAAACAGAAAATTAAAACTTTTATAATTAATTTGATTTTTATTTCAAAATCAATAATCATATGAAATTAAAGCATGTCGTTCATTTCATTCACATTGAATCGGTCGATATAAACATAGTTTTAAAGTTTTTTAAAGTCAGAAATTCAAATCTCTAGTCTAAATTTAGAGAGAAAGAGATAGAGAAATAAGAAAACCCCTTCAATTGAATTAAATTTATTTTTTTTAAGATCTCTTCAAATTTCCTCTCCAAAATTATAGGAATTGAAATTTACGGCGGAGAGATAGGTAAAAGACAGGAAAAAAAAGTCAGAGAGAGAGAGAGAGAGATTTACGGCGGAGAGAGTTGGATAGAAGTGGCCATAACCAGCGCAACCCATTTCGCCATGCAATCTGATCTTCTCCAACTGAGCTACTCCCAACCCTCTTTGCGGTTGCTTCGGTTTCTCTCCGCCGCCTCCTTTCCTCCCTCTCCTCCCCGCCGCCGCAGCCGCCGGCGACCAACTCCTCCTCTTATCAATGTTCCCCATATTCATCTCCCCAAAATAACCACTCCCCATATTTATCTTCCAATAAAACGAAGAGAGAGAAAGAAATCAAAAACTAGAGAGAGAAAGTGGGAGGGTTGAGATCTCTAAAGCCCTCTTTTTAAGCTCTTTTTCACAGTCCCAACAATTATTGCATCGCTGGATCAGACTGTCTCTCGGATTTTTATGTTATTTATACTTAGATTTTTATGCTTTTTTTTCCCTCTTGCTTTGAGAACTTCCATAAATATTTTTTTTTATTTTTAATAAAAACTATATAATATTAACCATCATTGTCGCGGGTATATTTTTTTTTTAATTATTTTAGAGTCGTGACGTATTAATTTTTTAGAAATGAAATAAGAGGCCGAGAAGAGATCTCTATTTACATCTATAATCTAAAAATAATGAAAATAATTCATAAAACTCTTCTATTTATAATAACTAATTAATTAGCTCAAATGTCGAGACCACTGTATCCTTGTATTTGATTATGGATTAGGTCAATCAAATCAGATTTTGAAATTAATCATGCACGTAGGATCGAACCCGTAAAAGAGGGGTCCACCATTTCAAGAAACACCAGCCGTCAAATTTTATTAAGTAATTTATAAATCTTTATTTTGGCTTTAAACTTGAAAATAAAAAAGATTATTTTTTAAAATAGTCCGATTATTTAATTTCAAATCAGAGTAATTAAATTTTTATTTTAATAATACATATATATAGAAAATATATTAAAAAAAATTGGTTTTGGTTGACCAAATTAATGATAATTAATGGTAAATTTAAAATTTGGTAAGATATATAAATTAATGTATTGTTTTAGGGACCAAATCTGATTAAGGTCTTTGAAGCATGATCTGTGAGGGTAATATTATATTAATTAATTAGAGTTGTGAAATGGTTTTGAGAGGGTAAAATCGACTTTTTACATCAATCAACACGTGAACTCCTTTGCTTTGCTTCCCAAATCCTCGTTAATCCCTTTTTTAAGTCTTAATTAACTACGTCATTTGGAAAGCTTTCGTAGATAATCCACTAAATTAAATTTAAAAAAATTACTCCAACTTGATTAAGATATTATCTTTTATCAGAAGAATCTAATTAATGAAATTGTTATAATTAAACCTTTAAATATTACAAAATATAGAATTTTTTTTTTTTAACTAGAATTGTTACAATTTGATCATTTTTTAATTCAATAAATTTGAAAATTATAATATTCAATAATAAAGTCTAAGATTCAAAACGTCTCTTTAATTATTAAGAAATTATATCTGACGTGTAAAATATAATAATTAATTCTATATATTAGTAATAAATAATATATGGGTAATAATTAAAATAGCTTGGATAAATATGGTGAGACAACAATTCAATAAATAGTAATTTGAACGGTTCCAATTAATTTTTTAATGATAAAATTAATTATTGCACTAAATATGATTATAAAAATTAATTAAAATTTCTCATTCACACCTACTTTTCTACAAAGCATACCGATATATTTGACCTATTGGGTTAGAAAATTAAAGCATATAATAATTACTTCAAATTTTTAAAAAAGTTTTCAAATATGATTAAAATATATTGTAATTTTGAATAATTATTAAATTTTAAATCTTATTCAAAGTAGTTTTAATTTAATTCATATAATTAAAATTATATTCTCGGGTGAATTCTTCTACAAAAGATGTAACTACCAAGCCCACCGCTAACAGATATTGTAGTTTTTGTGTTTTCTATTTCAGACTTCCCCTCAAGGTTTAAAAAATAATAATAATTTCACAATCCACTCTCATTCAGGGTTAGCCTCATTGCTGGCACACACCGCCTAGTGTCCACCTCCATAGGGGCTCAACCTCCTTACGGACGCATCGCCTGATATCAGGCTCTAATCAATTTGTAACGGCCCAAACCCACCATTAGTAGATATTGTCCTTTTTTGTGCTTTCTCTTTCAGACTTCCCCTCAAGGTTTAAAAAATAATAATAATAATCTCACAACTCACTGCCATTTGAAGTCGTGTTATTGTTGGCACACACTGCCTAGTGTCCACCCCATAGGGGCTCAGCCTCGGTTAGCAGATATTGTCATATTTGAGCTTTTCCTTTCAAACTTCCTCTCAAAGTTTTTAAAATGTATTAGTTCGGGAGAAAAATGTTTCGTTCTCCTTTCTAATCGAGATAGGATCTCACAAAAGAGGCGACATCTTCTTAAACCAACAAATTATTAAGAGTGTTACCTTAAACCGAACCGATCGAGACCATACAAACATACACGAAAAGTCTATGATGTGCATGCATGTATGGGTTAAGGGGGAAAGACAAAGAGAAGTGGAGAGGTACAGAGAATATATGAAATATCCACCGTAGATTTGTAAGCACGTGCAAACACAACCAACACACGTTTTATGTAATTAATAAAATAAAGTAATTTACAAAACAGTCCCTAATCCATAAAGATCATACCCTAATATAATCCCATATAATATAAAGATTCTCTTCCAATATAAAGTATAGGTGTAGGTTACTTGAACCACAGCCTTTTTTATGTAATTAATGTATAATATTGGGAGACATTAGGGTTTTAATTTTATTAAATTCCAAAAAACTTTAATTATATTTAAAATGGGATTAAATAAAGAGAGGATCACTCAAGATTCTTAGAGAAGATTGAGTATATTAATTAATATATTTAAATTATTTATTAAGAAACTAAAATTATAATTTTAATAAAAAAATTCCTTCTTATCTCTGTTGATATGATGAAATTTTTCGTGACAAAACGTGTAATTATATTTAATTTATAATATTATAATGTATTGATTAAATTTGTTTGAAATTTTATTCTCTTTTTTAATATTTAAAATATGGAAAATTGATTTTAAAAATATAGAAATGAAAAATAAAATAAGCACAATCATTTATGGATTAAAATAAGATTTAAATGAATAAATACTAATTCTTTTTCTTTGTGTCTGTCGGTTTGGTGAATCGTACGGCTATGATGAACTCACCATTTTAATACCTACCAACATGTATATAATCGTGCGGCTATATATATATATATATATATATATATAATATTATAAGTTACAAAAATTATATATAATGGGAATTAAGTGCTAAAAAATAAATAATTAAATAAATATTTTGATACAAAGATGGCTAAAGCCCAAACTCAAAATACTGTTTGGGCTTGGGCCTAAGTCAGGTTGGTCCAATTATTTAGCAGGGCTTTGCATTTGAGATTGGTTGGGCTTATTATTATATTATTTATTTTATTACTTTTATTTGATAAAATTATTAGTATGAGAAATATTTAATATCCCATTTTCTAAAAGTCTTTTCTTATACATTTTTGATTAAAAAATATATGAAATATATATATATATATATATATAGATGAATGTAGATTGAATGAGTTAAAGCCAAAAATAAGATAAATAGAAGGAAAGGAGATCAAAAAGATACATCGACGACTTGACTCTCGTATAGGTCGAATGTTTTCGTGAATAGTAAGTAGCGAATCTCCCCTGATTTTGGGAAAACTAGTAGTTGGGTGTGAATTCTTTCAAGGAAGGGGCCTGATCGACATTCTTGTTTACTCTGATCCGATCGAGGTGGTTTTCGTTTACTAGCACGTAGGTGGTCTAAGTTCCCATGACCGAGTCTTTATGGCCCCTGTGAACATCTTTTCTTAATGTATTAAAGAGGGCCTCTCTAACTGCGGGTGAAAAGTGGTGGGTGCCCACTAACGACCATTCCTGGCTTGGCTCCAATAATGCAATTCGACCAACAATCTAAATATGACTCAAATGAGTTGGCCCACGTGCCAAATTGTGAACCTATTCTTCTATTTTTATATATTCCAACCAAGCCGAGAGATTATAATTATATCACTTGAGTTATATCTATACCAACAAGGTGCACAGGTGCCTCAGAATATTTATATGTTGAGTGATCTCTTAAATTTGACTCGTATTGGTGGTCTGTGAGGGTAGTTTTTATTATTAGAAGCGAAAAATGAATAAAGTAACCATGTCGTTGGGAAATGTCGGGCCATCAGGTACCAAATTTCGAAATTTGAATCCTGAGTATGGGTCGTTATATAAATAAATGAATAAAAGACGATAAAATCGAACTCGCTACTACCCACCTAATTCTAATATTTTATTTACTATATTATCGATATCTAGAAAAGTTGATATTCGCTCTTTACTTTATTTAAATATATTTTTCTATATTATACTTTAATGTGTGTATACATATACATATATATATATATTAAAGGCAATTTGAATAAATTGTAACCGTTAAAGCAGCTAGGGAACTTTGTGATCAAAGTATTTATACCTTTTTCTGAAGAGCCATTTAAGTTTGAATTCTCGCTCATATTGTTAACAGAAACATTTAAAAATTAAATAAATAAATTAAAAATATTCATAATTTGTTTAAATAAAATTTAAATTAGACAAAATTTTACAAAACCCGAAGCGAATGGCTCTGTGTGGTTGGAGGGCCATTAATGGCGGCAGCGACAGGAACCAGAGGGACCCATCTCAGCCATTTCAGGTACCAATCCAGAGCTAAAGAACCGTTTTGTGCATTTCGAAACCTTTGTCTCTGAGTATTTGAAAGATTTCGAGAGGGATAGAAGAAAAGTTCAGTAAATTTAAAAGCCCCTTTTCGCGATAGTCCAAAACCCTTTCTCCATTTCCGCCATTGTTACACCTCAAATCCTTCAGTTCTCTTTAGTTCTTCTAATTTCTGATTCTCATTTGTATTCTGTACTTTTAAAGCGGATTTTGCAGAGGATTTTGAAGAATGAGCGGCGCTTCGAAGTTCATTAAATGCGTTACTGTTGGAGATGGAGCTGTTGGGAAGACCTGTATGCTTATTTGTTACACTAGCAATAAGTTCCCTACTGTGAGGCCTCTATTTAATGGCTAATCTGTTTGGTTGATGTTAATACCCTTTTCATGGAGGATTTTTGTGCGTTTCTTTGAATTTGGGCTAATCTCTCTTATCATGCATGGATGATTTTCTTCCAATTTATTCAAACTCCAAGCATGAACACTTGATAATGATGCTCTCTTTCTCTAAACATTGATGATTTTCATGCATTTCTTTGAATATTGGCTGCAAGTTCTAGTTTGAGCTCTGAATATTGATGATTTTCTCCATTAAACACTAAGCTTGAGCAGTTTCAAACGGTCTTTCTCTTCATATTTGATGTTTTTTTGCCATTTTTATTGAATAGTCTATGTGATATCCCACGTTGGTTGGTTGAGGAGGAGAGGAGAACGAAGCATCTTTTATAAGGGTGTGGAAACCTCTCCCTAGTAGACGCGTTTAAAAACTTTGAGGGGAAGTCTGAAAGGGAAAGCCCAAAAGGACAATATCCGCTAGTGGTGGGGAGAGGGGAACGAAGCATCATTTATAAGGGCGTGGAAACCTGTGGACGTGTTTAAAAACCTTAAGGGGAAGCCTGACAGGGAAAGTCCAAAAAGGACAATATCTGCTAGCGGTGGGGAGAGGAGAACTAAGTATCCTTTGTAAGGGTGTGGAAACCTATCCCTAGTAGGCGTGTTTAAAAACCTTAAGGGGAAGCCTGAAAGGAAAAGCCTAAAAGGACAATATCTGCTAGCGGTGTGGAAACCTCTTCCTAGTAGACGCATTTAAAAACCTTGAAGAGAATCCTGAAAGGCAAAGTCCGAAGGGATAATATCTGCTAGTGGTGAGCTTGGGCCGTTATTATCTCTCTCAATATTGGTGGTTTGTTTGGCAGGACTACGTTCCCACAGTGTTTGACAATTTCAGTGCCAATGTTTCTGTGGAGGGGAATATTGTCAATTTGAGATTATGGGACACTGCAGGTAAATATAGTGTCCTTTGTTTACATGCATTTCATTGAGTGATCTATATTGATTGTTGTTTGTTTTGTTGAAGGTCAGGAAGATTATAGCCGGCTAAGGCCTTTGAGTTACAGAGGTGCAGATGTGTTTGTACTAGCTTTCTCATTAATTAGTAGAGCCAGCTATGAGAACATCCTCAAGAAGGTACTGATTTGGTATTAATTAGGGTCCTTATTAGTTGCACAGGGGAACGAAACATTCTTTATAAAGGTGTGGAAACCTCTCCCTAGTAGATGCGTTTTAAAACTTTGATGAGAAGCTCGGAAGGGAAACCCAAAGAACACAATATTTGCTAACGATGGGATTGAGATGTTACAAATGGCATCAGAGCTAGGCACCGAGTGGTGTGCTAGCGAGGATGCTGGGCCCTGAAAAGGGTGGATTGTGAGATCCCACATCGATAGGAGAGGGGAATGAGTACTAGCGAGAATGCTTGGCCCCGAAGGGGGAGGGGGTGGATTGTGAGATCCCACATCGGTTGGAGAGAGGAATGAAACATTCTTTATTAGCGTGTGGAAGCCTCTCCCCTAGCCGACGTGTTTTAAAACCTTGAGGGGAAATCCGAAAGGGAAAGCCCAAAGAGGACAATATTTACTAGCGGAGGGATTGAGCTGTTACAAATGGTATCTGAGCTAGGTGCCCAACGGTGTACTAGCAAGGATGTTGAACTCCGAAGGGGGTGGATTGTGAGATCCCACATCGATTGGAGAGGGTAACGAAACATTTTTTGTAAAGGTGTGGAAACCTCTCCCTAATAGATGCGTTTTAAAACCTTGAGGGGGAAGCCTGGAAGGGACAGACCAAAGAGGACAATATCTGTTAGCGGTGGGCTTAGGTGGTTACAAATAGTATCAGAGCTAGGCCCCAAACGGTATGCTAGCGAGGATGCTGAGCCTCGAAAGGGGTGGATTGTGAGATCTCACATTGATTGAAGAGGGAACGAATGCTAGCGAGAACGTTGGACCTTGAAAGGGAGTGGATTGTGAGATCCTACATCGGTTGGAGAGGGAAACGAAGCATTCTTTATAAGGGTGTGGAAACGCCTTGCTAGCAGACGCGTTTTAAAACCTTAAGGGGAAGCCCAAAAGAGAAAGCCCAAAGAAGATAATATCTGATTACAAGTGCTTGAATAGTAGAGAAAAACTATCAAACATATTCATTGCAACTACATTGCTTTATTTTGATTTCTCAGTGGATGCCTGAACTGCGTAGATTTGCGCCCAACATTCCAATCATTCTAGTTGGAACGAAGCTCGGTACGTCGACGAAAGTTATTCATCCATCATTCGATGTTACATTTCGTTCATACTAACGACCATTCGTGTAAATCCATGAACAATATCAATGAAATTTGTCTCTGTTCATTTTAGATCTCCGTGAGGACCGACGATATTCAAATGAACAAACTGGATACAACGTCATTACATCTTCCGAGGTTCGGTTCCCGAATCCTTGCGTATTTCTTCAAATGTGAACTGTGATCTAATGTCTCTTGAAAGATAAGCTGAAGTTTGTTGAACAATCAGGGTGAGGAGCTGAGGAAACAAATTGGTGCTTCGGCTTACATTGAGTGCAGCTCCAAGACACAACAGGTAGACACAAGACAACATAGGAAGATGTTCCAATTTTTGTGGCGATGAACAATATCTAACTTGAATTTGTGGTTGATTCTTTAGAATGTCAAAGCTGTATTTGATACTGCCATTAAGGTTGTTCTGCAGCCTCCGAGGAGAAGCGAGATCATGAAGAAGAAAAGGTGTCGAGGACCAAGCTGCTCGTTCACGTAAGTCGCACCCCCGCCCGAGATCTGTTAGCCTGTTTGTCACTCTCATTATAAAATCTTGTTATTGACATGCATACAACAATGGCAGGAGCATCATTTGTGGAGGGTGTGCTGCCTAGTACACGCGGTGCAGCTGCTGAGTACACGCCGTGCTGCGGCCGAGTACACGCCGTGCTGCTGCAAGCTCTGAGTAATCCTATTTTGTGGAGGCTAATTCATGACTAGCTTTCTGTGTATTTGTTGATCCGTTTTGTGGCTGCATTAGCTTTAGGTTGTAGTGGAAGACAACTTGAAAATTAGGGAATTGTTCATTCTCTCAAGAACTTAAGGTATATATGTCTCGGTCGTCCTATAATATTGCGTCGATTTGATATGAAACATCCACTCGAGGCTAGAAAACACGTACTTTATCTGTAGTTATTAAGATTGATGAATCTTACACGATAGGTAAATGATATGGATTCGAGATATAGTGACTCGATCATCGTTCTTTTTGTAGTCAGGTTAGAACATTGCAATTCTAGTCGTCGTATTTTTGAATTGTCTATCGGTATGTGAATATTCAAAAATATTCCTCGTCTCATGTTTTTTTTCAAAACGGTGTAGCGTTGTTTTGAATATTTGTCTTCAAAAGGATAAATAACCTTAACCGTTCAACTATATTCAAGTTGACCAAATACTTGCGTTGATCAATCTGTGTCTCTCTGCATATCGACTTCAACTCGATGTTCGTTTAACACTTATCTCAACCCATCTTTGAATCTCCGATAAGGTTTCAATAATTTTTTATTGGAGTTTTAGTGATTAAAATAAATATTTAAAAGTTTAAATAAGTAAAAAAAAAAAAAAAAAAAAAAA